TGGTAATCAGGCAAACGACAACGGTTCCATCGAAAAGGGGATTGGCAGGTGCGGGGAGTTAGGACAGGTGTCGGAAACAAGTAGAGTCCGAATGCAGTCTCTTTTCGTGTTTTTATCGGAAAGCCAACTCAGATTCTATCTATCCTGATACAATAGTGTAGGACTTGGCGATGGGGTTTGACTTTTCATCACCGGAAAGATGAGTCGTAGCTCTATTTTTGATCGGGGTAAAATTTCAAATGTGTAAACATTGAAAAATTGAAGAAAAATAAAACTGGAACACATTTATCGCAGCATGAATGCCTATTCGCAAATATGACCGCGTTAGATGAAATGAATCGACTTCTTAACACAATTGCATAAACCGTAACCACGTGTGTTCGGTCCCAGGCTGCTTATTGTGCAAATTAGGTTTGTTGATAAACAGAGAATGAATTTAGATTACGCACGCACGCACGCACACACACATGCGCACGTACAAGTGTGTGCACAGAAAAGCACGCACGCAGGCACACACACGTGACTCACGTCCAGCTCCAATAGCGTTGACGGGAAACTGCTGATCAGGTTGACCATATAGGCCGGGTCCTCACCCACGTTGGTCACAATTGCCTGTATCTCGATTGTTTGGGCTTTGTCATCACCGATATGCACGACCGGGCCATTTTTGTCCCTGAACGAAATGGGGTTGGATTGTGAACGACAGATTGTGTACGCGGGCTACTGGGTCGCTGGAGTCGAATACAAATGTTGACATGAATTCATGCTAATCAAGATAGTTGAATCTTCCTGTTCGAATTTAAAACCGGAAAACCAAAGCTTGCGGAACGGCTGGAGGAGATGGATGGCTTATATGTTTACTGATCATGGAAGTAGATATGCACACTATATCCTTCTTAATTTATGGATCTCCGTTTTCTGACAAAGGTGACTTGAGGATGGTGGTTCCATTGAAGTGCTTCATTGGATCAATGTTGTTTCATCAGGGGATAAATGTGTTTTGTGAAAAAATAAAGTTATTTTCTAGCTGGAGACAGAGAAAAACCATGGATCACTAGTGGGGCACGAACATGTTTGAGTAAAGCTCCTTAGTCCTTTTTTCACTGTTCTAAAATGTGAATCGGAGGCTGATGAGGAAAATTTTACATCAAACAGACAGTCGTAGAATTGATAAAAAGGAGGCTTTTTCTACTGCGGTATCAGAAACAATTCCTTTCAGTTTCGGTTTACTGAAGCATCAGTTGGGCCGCGAATTTTAGTATCACAACGGCAAACATCGGTGCCCGTGTCGAACAGTCGTTTTCTAGCTTTGATTTTCACAGTCGACACACTCAGGATCGGGTTGAGAATTTGAATCCACCGGTTTGATCGTGTGTGAAAGCTTATCACCGTATTCGGATCTGATCTGTTCCAATCACCGATATAGAGGGAATCTGACGTAAACTGTCTTGGATTTTGTGCCCTTTTGGTCATGTCTAAAAAGATATGATCTGAACTGTGGTAGGCCTTGACTTATTTGAGAGGAATTTTCGTTTTAGGTGTTTTAGGCGACTGTTAGACAAAACCGCACCATGGGAAAACTTTATTGTTTTCTAATATAAGATCAAAACATGGAAATCAATTCGGTTGATCAACCGTGCCGATGTTAAGGGCTTTGCTTTGATTACAAATTAGCAATCAGCAATGGAAGAATAAGTTGGCGAGGTAATTAGGCGATTGGATGTGGAAAACTGGTAACCGAATCATATAATGAGCTAAATGATTGCGAACGCTTGCAAATTAGCATGTCACTGGAGCAGAAAAAGTACGAAAAGGCTAACCTAACGTGACTTGCACTTTGTGATGTATTTCGTGGCTACCATGGTCGTACGGAATGAAACTCGATTAGCGTTCAATCTACCGGTGCTTTTTTGGTCAATGCATGAAAGAGGAACATGGCATAATTAGGAAAAGCGGACGGAATGACATTAATTTGCTGTTTAATGCAGTTCTTTCCAAAAACAATATTCATCGGAGGTAAGAACAAGTTTAAGCGATAGGATGAATCAGGACCGGGATGGGGTGAGATGCAAGAAGGTGATTTATTGACTATTTTCATACACCATCGATAAGATCACCACTGTGAGTAACATCCATCATCCATTTGAATTACAATGCTGAAGTTCAGTAGTATTATCATTGTGCTATAGTGCCGACACAAGAGAATCAATAGAGAATTTATTTTGTCAAAAGAAGTTTTCCATAAAAATCAAGGACTGTGATGAGGGTCGAAGTCGGTTGACCAGTTCAAAAAAACCTGAGTGATGTATTTACTTATTTTTGTTCGAAAGATGATCAAATAGTTTTGTTTAGTTCAAATCGTCTAACAGATCACCACAAGTTTATTCCCTTATCGAAATGCGGTTCTGAGGAATAATACTCGATTAAAGCAATAATGATAAAATGAAAACGAAATTATGAAAAATTATTATGATCGCACAGTTCAAAAGGTATGCGTTGGAGAAAGAGTAATTCAAATATTTTAGGAGTTGCGGATTCTCCGATCTCGCAAACCACTTGGTGTGGCTTGTGATCCTGGCAACCAATAAACATTTTCCCAAGTTCGTTAATTAACTTAGTTTAACTTCAAAGGTGAATTCGTCGTGTACATAGTACGTGGAGCGTGAACTAAAAAGCTAGAAAGCATTGGACAGCTGTTTCAGCCTGATTGGGTCTCATCAGCAGTGCGAATCCATCGACCCACCTGGGGATCGAACCCGAAACCTCATGGACAGAACCCAAGCATNGCGATTTAGTCGTTCCAGGGTTTAGACCACAGAATACGTGGAACACTCACCTGTTCAAAAGGTGTCTACAACTTTTCATACAGAAATGAGCAGCTATTAAATCATTTTGATGAATTGGCACGATTATAAACTAGAGAAAAACAGAATTGTCTATTTACATGATGAATTCGTCGGGTGAATGAGACGTGAGCTGAAAAGCTGGAAAGCGCTGGACAGCTGTTCAGACCTGGTTGGGTCTCATCAGCAGTGCGAATCCATCGACCCACCTGGGGATCGAACCCGAAACCTCATGGACAGAACCCAAGCATACTCAACACTCGACCACCGGGCAGCTGATCAGACCGTTTTTCATTTCAGCACAACCCATCTTTGCGAGCTTGTTGCGGGCCACAGACTCTGCTCATCTCAGCACTGGCCTTCGGGTTATTACTCGGTTGGAAACATTCACCTTCTCACATTCACATTCTCGTTAACCGTAATCCAATTTGACTCTCGTCAGATCTTCCACCAATAAAGCCTTATGAGCGATAACCTTGTGATTCACAGCTGTCCCACCAAGATCTTACTGAACATTTTGAAGGCATTTAGGGTTCCTAAGATGTCCCTTTAGGTGTTTCTGCAATTCGTCAGAAGGTCATCCTACTTGCTCAACGGTAAAAAAAACAGGCCCTCAAATGGCACAGACATGAATGATGGACATCCAAGCGCTAGGCCTTGTGAGAATCGTCAATGTGTTTGGTGTGTGGTCTTGTATATTTTCGTCACAAATCTATAATCAGCTACAGTTGGTGTAGCTTTTGTGAATATGCTTCTCAAAGCAGTCCATTAGGAAATAAAGGCGATGGTTTTAAACAATGCTTTGAGAGTTACATGTGTTCAACAGGATTTTCACAAAAACTACTCCCGGTTTCGATGATTAGGGATTTGTGAAAAAATACATGCAACCGGGGTTCAAGTATATCAATAACTAGATAAAAAATTACCAAATACGCATCTCCTGCGAACGGCAATGACCGCGAAACCGATCGTGTACTTACAGGGGAGTTTTTCAAGACATTGACACACTACTTATAACATTCATATATACATGAAGCATATTTTCACACTTCTGTGCATTCGATAGCTAAAGAGCCCTAAACAGGTCGCAAGGAAAAAGATAGCTATGCGGAAATATACAAACAAGTGAGGTTTAAAACGAGTTGAATCATCTCACGAGAGCCTAGAGCCTAAAATCATAGTTATCATAACGGTCCTGGGGATGCGAAAGTCTGTGGAGAAAGGTGTGGAGCCGCGCGAGTTGTCAATCACTGAATGAAAGCCGGCAGCGATAGTTTTGTAAACTGTGCGGTCCTGCATGATTGATATACTGATTGCAAGTTTTATTATAATTTATAACAGTCAATATGCTTGGTAACATTCAGTAGGTTTAATTGACTCGATGAGGTTTTCGTATGATTGTTCAAGCGCTTTTGTGCGTTATTATACATAAATAGAAAACTTTTGATCTTTATTTTCTTCTCTGTTTATTTATCACAGAAATTCACAATAAAATTTTCAGGAAGGGAATCGCGACCATACAGAGTCTGCCTGGTGAAATAGGGATAATGGAAAGACGGGCAGTGGAAGTGGGGTTCGAACTCAGGATCCTCAGGTTGTTATTTCGACGACCTTTCTACTCGATCACCACAGACCATAAAAGTCAACATGTTTTTTCAGTATGCCGAACAATCGAAAATCCTTTCTAAGTATTCACCTTACTAAATAAAAAAAATATTCGCTTTGTTTCAGTTTCAGTTTGAACAACCATTAACCATGCACCGTCGTGTAGCAGTTTTGGTTACTATCTTTCGGCGGCCCATTTGGATGAAGAATAAGAGGTTGAAAGTAGAGCCGAACAGAAAATGGAGAAGTTCAGTCGTCTAGGGTTGTGAAGAAATTGAGATACCGTAAGTCCACTGTCTACGACACTCAGACATATCACTCAGTGTTTCTAACCATCGGTTACGATCATCCCGTGGTCCTCAGCCAGGGAGCCTAACGAGACCTATGTGATCCAGTACCCTGGTTAGGGATTTCATACCGTCGTGCCAGGTCATAGCTTGACCACCCTTGGCTTTTTTCCACCCACTACCTGACTCGGCGAACATCGCTGGCCGTGGCAACCTATCTGGTGACGTGCTTAACACATGCCCCAACCAACGTAATCTATGGAGGTCGGTCATTTGATTCACTGNCCCAAAACTCTACGCCTAAACCCAGCATTGCACGTTCGGCTGCCCCAACCAGATTCGTGCAATGCTACGTAGACAGTGGTGTTCAAACACTGACAGCCTATCTTTATCCTGTTTTCTTAATGGCCAGGTTTCTGTTCCATTTAGCAGAACTGGCCGAATTGCAGCAACAGACACTCGACAACC